ATAGACTTGATTTGAATGGTAGAATTGAAAACTATAAAAGCTATGACAAAAAGGCTAAGAAAAACAATAAGTAATCAAAAGAGAAAGGGTCAAATTGAAATCACTATTATCATTGAGAAAAATCATAAACTTGATTTAAAAAATTAAATAACAAGCCATAAAAACTTAGATAAAAGAACAAAGAAAAAAAGTTAAGAAATTATAAGTAAAATGACCAAATTGAAATACCTTATATATACAAATTAAGAACTAAGGGTTAAATTGAAAACAAACAAAACTTCAACAAAAGAAAAATTAATTAAAAAATAGCAATCAAAATTTAAAAGTATGAATTTGAAATAACAAAAAGGGCTATAATGTATTTATAGGGGTGGGAGAGATTAGGGATGTTCAAAAAAATCGATTAACCGAGAAAACCAATGAAAAATTAACCAAGAAAATCAAACCGAGATAGAAAACTGATTCAACCGATTTTTAAAACCATAAATGCTTGCTAGTTTCAGCTCAGTTTTGGTTTTACCACTGAAACCGGTGAACCAAATCGGTCCGCCTATAAAATAAAGTTAATAGAATACTTATAAATAATATAGTAAACCTAACCTTAATTGATAACATTAGATGAAAAGCCGCCTCCCACACCAGAGATGATTTATCATCTTCTTTCCCTTTTAATTTTCATCCACCCTGCATCTCTCTTGTCTAGTCGAACAAGAAGTCATTAACCCACGTCTCCACATCCATTTGTGTACTTACAGCCAAACAAAAACTCTCGGCTTCTCTCTTCACTTGTAACAGAAAAGAAAGGGGGGAATAACAAGGTAAAGTTTGTCCATCTTTGACACTGCTCATCATCTTTGATAGTGCTTCCATCCTCAAAACATAGGTTGTATTGTGTTGACTACAAGCAAATCAAAAGGAGCCATTAAAAAAAAAGTCATTATTGAGCAGAGAGGCTGATGATGAAAAGTCAAATGGGTCTGTGAGGGACGATAGAGGAAAGGGAAAAAAGGAAATTTCCAAAGCTTTGGATTCTTTGTTCAAGAAAGCATGCTAGTCCATTACCACATTCATGATTAAGTTTTTTAGTTTTTAAACCAAAAAACTAAATTTAACCAAACCAAAATGATTTGGTTTGAACTGGAATTTAGTTTAGTTCAGTTTGAATTTTAAAAAATATAAGTTGCTCTGTTCAGTTCGTTTTTATGGTTCAAACTGAACCGAACCGAACCATGTACAGGCCTAAGAGAGATTTATGAAGCAAGGACCATCGGCGATACACTAGTTAGATTTGAAGCACATGCTGCCTATAATGGAAGAGAAGATGGTGAGAAATAATTTCAGATGACAAGTGACCATATTTGACAACCTAAAACTGCTGCACACACTGCATAAAAAATTTGTAGTCATTTCAATACATTAACACCTATTGCACATGCCAATAATTTTTTTAATAAGAAATTAGTATTTTAATGGTAAATTACATAACTACCCTCAACTAAACTTACAAAAACAAAACCCAAGGTTAAAAAACTAAAATACCCCTGACAACAATAAATTAAATCTCTTGCGTCCAAAGTTTAGAACACATAAAACCCAAGATCAATCAATAAAAAATTATATTGCAGTAAAATCATGAAAAAAGCATAACAAGTCACAAAAAAAATATTCATTTTCATTTCTTTTCCTTTTACCCCTCTTCTTTTGTGCTCTTTTATTTTGTCTCTCAATTTATCCTTTACTTTTAGAATAACATTCCAAAATCAAACAAAAGTAATAAGTTCAATAAACATATCTAACTTATGGTTATAATCAATCCCTGTTGAGAAAAAAAGTTAATTAACAAAAAGACAAAAAGTAAAATTGAGAAAAGAAGAGGAGGACATACCTTTGAGGTGTGGAGAAAAAGAGAAAAGAAAAGGAAAGAAAAGAAAAAGAAAAGGAGAGAAACAACTTTTGTTTTTGCCAAAAAGAAAGAGAGAAGAAAGAAAACACCCGTCTATTATAAAATTAGAGATTTAAGTCTTTTAATTTGGGGTTTTTTAACTGATATTAATCATTTCATTTATAATATTTAATTAAAAAATTTCAAACCCCTCCCCCCCAAAAAAACCACCGATGACTTTTTGGTCCATCGGTGATTCCATTTAAAAATGATTTTCGGATAAAATCCTAACGCCTATTTATACCTAATTTTACCCAGGCTATTTTGAATATCATTAAGTTACTCGATAGTACTTTCAATTTCGTGAAATTCACATCCATTGAAATTTTATTTGAATTTCTATATTTATTATTTATTTTTATATTTTAACACGTACAAAATATTTTATTTTAAATTCTTGAATCTATCATCATTTTTATAATTTAATTTATCATTTTTATTTTTATTATTATCAATGATATTACCTGAGGTTTTACAAAACACATAAACAAACTTCATATACAATATCAAAATACCAAAAAAATAACATTTTAAAAAGGAGTTAAGATGAAAAATAGATAGTTTTGCTTACTTGATGCGGGGAATCCTAAAGAAATTGAATCAGAACAAAGATGTTGTCAGACTAAGTATTAAGGTGGGCAGATTTATAATGATGAGAGTTTGATTTATGATAAAATATAAGGTTTGTTGATATTTGTAGAGAAAAATAAGGTAGAAGAAATGAGAGAGGAAGAGATGGAGGTTACTCACAAAGTTATAAATTAAATATTACTAATGAATTTATTAAATTGTTAGCACCATATAAAAAAATTTCTCTTGGAGTAGCTGTTAATACAAATAAAAGAAACACTATTTTATCCATTTTTGTACATTCAATGTACTCTATGGATAGAGGAATACAACATATCAGCGAAATGGAACAAGGTATTTCATGTTTTTTGTTGATCAAGCAACACCCAGATTTGAACTAGGGAAAAAGGATTTGCAGTCTCTCACCTTACTACTCAGCATGTCACCAAAGCAATAAATATAAAAAATAGATGAAAATACCCTTCTTTTTTTCTTACTAAACTTTAGAGGAGCCATGATGGCCCCTCTAGACTGCTCGAATCTCACGAGTGAATAAAAAGTTGGATCTATATTAGATTTCACCTAAATTGCCCCATCTATCCTCCTTAGAAGAAGTTTGATTTCAAACCGTGGTTCAAACAGGAGAAGTATGCCATGCTAAGTGCATTGGATGATCCACATTTTAGGGGCAAGTGCTAATGAGCACATTGAACTATCCATGTGGCTGAGGCTTTCATATTTAGAGAATCATCTCTCATCCCCCTTACTTGGGCCATCCGAGTGGGTTAATTATGCTGATAATTTTATTTATATAAATAACACTTCATTATACTTTTTAATTTTTTTTTTAATATAATTCCCTCGATATATATTGAGAGAAGATTTTTGTCAATGTTTACCGAATGATACAACAAAAGACTATTTCGTTGATAAAGTTTATTGTAATCTACTTACAAAATTTTTTTATTAATATTTTTGTTTGTATTGGTTAATTTTCTAGTAGTGATTTTAACATCCAAACATTATTTAAAAAAGAAATAGCCCAACCCCACAATATAGCGCATATACCAAAGCTAGTAAAATCTAAACAAGTTAAAAAATTAAAAAAGAAAAAAAAAAGAAAAACATAAAAACAAAAGAGAAACCATGATAAAGAATTTATAAACCTAAAACCATAAACATAAATACAGGAAAACCAAAAAGCTACAATTTAACAAAATTAAAAATTAAAAATTTATATTTTAAGAAAAAAAGTTAAAAAATAGTTTAAAATTAAAAAATAAAATAAAATAAAAACTTTTTTTTTTCAATATCTCACTTAATAATTCAACTGCTAATAATATATCAAATTATTTATTCATGTTTAGACATATAATAGATAGTATTTTTTTCAAGTTTTTCTATTTAGAAATATATTACAATAATATATATTTTTTAAAAAAAATATTTTTTTTTAAAAAAATATTTTTAAAATACACATATTAACACAATCTAAAAATATTAATTAAAAAAATATATTGAAGTTTTGATTGAAAGCAGCTCAATATTAATTTCAAACTTTAGTATTTGAATTGTAGACCGGATTGTAGACCCCACACGTTCGCTAAGAAAAAAAAAAAAAAAAAGACCCAGCAACGCCACCGTTTTAGGTTTTCGGTAGCGTTTCACTGATACACAGACAGTACATAAACCCTAAACCTCCAAAGTCCCGCATACTTCATTTTTTTTTTATAGCATAATTTCATACAGTAATTTAGAAGAGGAAGAAAGATGCAGCACGATGAGGTCATATGGCAAGTTATCAGACACAATCACTGCAGTTTTATGGCCAAGTAAGACCTTTTTTTATTATTTTTCTTTGGCATATAACAATGTTTTGAATCTGTTTAAATTATAATTAATGGTATTTTTGTTTTGTTTTGTTTTGTTTTCACTGGTTTTTTCTTTTTTGTTGTAGAATCACTACTGGAAATTTTTGTAGAAACCCATATAACATTACTGGGGTTTGTAATCGTAGCTCTTGCCCTCTTGCTAATAGTCGCTATGCAACTATCCGTGATCATGATGGTATGTTTTTATTCTTTATATTTTAGTTTTTAGTTTTCTCAAACTGGGTTTTGTTTGCTGGGAAGAAATGTTGGGCAAGATGAGTGATTGTGAATAAATGTATGCTTTTAGTGGTGAAAATTACTGGGTTTCAGGCTTATCGGAATAACTATCAGTAGCAAATGGTTTCTTAATTAGGATTGAGTTAGTTCTAGTCAATTGCTCAGTTCTGATTCGGGATTGAATCCTGAGTTGGTTTCTAGAGCCATTGAAAAGGGATTTTAAGGTTCTTGTGGAGGTTTTGATCTTATATGTAGCTTAGCATTGGTTGGTTGGATATATTATTGTGTCTGGTAATGTGATTTATTTAGATACCTATCTAATTTTGGGTTCTTGTTTGTTACAAATTAATATTCTTGTCTATTACGTAGATTTGTTTTCAAGAATTTGATGATTAATTTGCTTTTGACTATTGTGCTGTGTGTCGTTCTGCACAGGTGTCTTTTATTTATATATGAAGACCATTGAGAGAGCTCATAAACCCAATGAGTTATGGGAAAGAGTAAAGTTGCCAAGAAACTACGAGAAGGCACTTGAAATCATAGACAAGCATCTGGTATTCCGTTTTTTTCTTGCATTCTGATGTTGGTTGTGTGTATTTTTTTAACCAAAAATTATTTTTAATTACTTTTTATTGTTGATCTGTAAATTCCTTGGAACTTGAAGATGTACTGGCCAAAGTTTCTTGTGCACAAAGATAAAACGCGCCTGACAAAAATGACTCAGATGCGTATACGAATGAGGAAGCTTGCTTTGAAAACAAGGTTTTGCAACTGCCTATCTTTTGTTCTAATTTATTTAGTGTATCTTCTTGTGGTTCTAAATATAGTTTGCTGCATCTACTGTAGGATATTTCATTATAATTGGTTGTGATGGTGTTTATTAACAAACTAAATTTGCAAGTTTCTTTCTTTTCTCTTTTTTTCTTTTGTTTTTGGTACATTTTATTTGTTATAGTTCAAGTTTACTCAGACTGATTCATTAAAATTACCGCATAGCTTCTTGCATGGCTTGGCTCATTTTTAACTATCACATCACATTTAGTTTCTGGCCTCCTTATGTCTGTAATACTTGATTTTGTAAGGCCTGGTGACTAGTTTCTGTCTATTATTTCTTTGGCGGCATGATAGTAGTAATTCACAGGTGGGTTTAATGTTGGAAATTGAAAAGAGAAACATTGTTCAGAGTGAAAATTGTATGATTGGATGTGGTTATAGTCTTTTATCTGCAGTATAGATGTTTAACACACTGATGTGAACAAATTCCTAACTGTTGAGATGGAGATATTAAGACACTGTTTTCAACAAGATTAGTGTTAACATGTCTCTAACCAAGGTTGTAAGTTGATAATATGTGGATTGTTTGATATTTCCCTGTAATTTTATGGTTATTATACCATTTGATTTAATTCCCATTTCCAGTTTTCTTTCTGATCAACCCGCATATTGAATTCCTCTTGTTTCCCACCATGTTGTTTACCCGCATATTGAAATCCATGGATCTTGTTTACTTGTTCAGTATATTTTGCTTTAATTTTTGTTGCTAGGGAGAAGATAATGACTACACCCAGAAAAGAGATAAAAAGAGAGTCTAGAAGGGAGAAAAAGGCTGAAACAGCCGCTGAACTGGACAAGGTCAGGATTCCTTCCTTTTAATATATTTGTCTCTACTGTGTTGTGGATCAATGTTAGTCCTAACTTGTACTTTCAACAGAGTATTGAGAAAGAGTTGCTTGAACGACTCAATGGAGGACTTTATGGTGACATACATAATATTCTGCCAAAACATTTCAACAAAATTCTTGATGAAAATGAACTACATGCTGTTAGTGAAGATGAAGAATATGAAGAGGTATGTTTTCTTGTATTATGTAGTTAATCTTGTGTAATACACGAAGGGAATATTAAGTAGTTAATCTTGTGTAATACACGAAGGGCTTTTCTGTTTTGTATATTGATGAATTTTGTGAATCAGCAGGAACCTGAAATAGAATATGTTCAAGGCTATGATGATCTTGAAGAAGAAGATGATATAGAAGATTTTGGTGGTTTTGCTATTGACGAGTCTCTCAAGAATAATGGTAAAGTCTTTGTTTCTTTGTTGCAAATCCTGTGTTTATAAAGGACCTAGTGTGGTTTGGATTTCTAATGTCATCTTTCTCAGTTACTTCTTGATCACTGTCACAATTGCGTGCACATTGTTTCCCATACTTGCTATATGATAACTGTATTCCATTTATATGGATTATGTTTGAAGTTGCTTGTGAATAGATGCTAATAACTATGAAAATCATTGTTAGAAGAAATGTGAAGGTTTGATGTGGTCATTGATTTGTTGTTTTTTCTGGAAAACAAGATTCATATATACCTGATCATGTGATGTTATTATGACAATGCTTGTCATCTCAATCTGTGATTAACAGGCTTCAAACTTCAATATGCCTATATGTACATGAGGCAAATTGTTCATGTTTGAAAGATGTTTATGAAATTTTATACAGGTGATGCATCTGAGGATGAAGAAGAGATGGACTCAGTTGATGGTAAGAGGGTTAAAAGAAGATCGGAGTCTGCTCATCAAAAGATGGAGGAAGATGAACGTAGAAAGTCAAAAAAGAAGGCAAAGGTTCTGGTTGAGGTCAGTGATCAACCCCTTCTTTTAGATATCTTTCTTTTAAATGGAATGGTGAACTCCAATTCAAAATGTGTATGATATGTAAAGTTTGAAATCTGTGATTGGCATGACATGCTAGTTAATTGTGGTCAAAACATAAATGGAACTTTTGAAATGTCACTGATCTCCATGCTGTTTGTAAACTGTATCATCTGGTGCTAAGCAATTGCATCTCTGGTTTTGAGCAAACGTTGCTCCTTGATTTTAAACCAGGGTTAGCTATTTAGCTTTGATTTTAAATCAGGGTTAGCTATTTAGCTCCAAAACTCTAATCGGGTCGGTCAATTGTTTGCCTTTTCATGTTTCCAGCAACAGATAAACATGTGCACTTTACCATATTTTGCTGTGCTTTGTATCAGGTCGAGCGTGAAGATGCTTCTGAAAGGCAGAGGGCAACCTTTTGAGATGGTTTTAACATGCTTTTTAATTAAGGGGTTGACATCTTCGTGTAAAATTGTTCTTTACATCAATTTTTGTAATTTAGGTTTCATATATAGGAAGATCTGGAGTCTGAAGATGCAGTAGGCCATGATTTGATATTATCTTCAACTCTCATCTGTTTCCTTTCTTGTTTTTTCTCCTTTCCTTTCCTTTTGACCTCTCGTCTGAAGATTTTAGTTGCCTTGACAGTCAATTAAAAGGTGAAATGATGCAAGGAAACAATTAGAGGTTCTCTTTCAACTTATTTTATGTTCCCTTTTTTCTCCTCGTAACTGACAGGCAAAAGAGCTCTTTACTTTGGTAAACTACTTCGATATGAATTTTGATTTAATTTTTCTTTTAAATTTTAATGCAAAAATTCTTGGATATATTTCGTTAGAAATTAATTTGACTTTAATTAAAAGATTCTTGAGTGTTGATCAACTATGTTGAGGATGTCATATCTAGTTTGGCCCAAACTACAAGTTAATTTGGAGGGATGATCTTCCTAAATGTGCATATGTAAAAGATAAAAAAATTTCAGAAATTTGGAGAGATTATTATCTTGTTCCCTATTTATAGTAATGCAATTAATACTTGGGAATATGAAAATTTATTAATTCATTTTGATATTATTTAAATTTTAAATTTAAATTGGGATTGAATAAAAAATTTATTTAAGCAAGTTCATTAATTTATCAAGAGTATAATGTAATATTATTATAGATTATAGATAAAAGGAGGTGGGCATTTCATCATAGCCTATCTTATAGAGAACTTACTATTAAAATGAACAATCAATTTTTTTTTCCTTATTAAAATTTTAAGTTTTGCAATTTCATCATCTCAAGTTAAATTATATATATCATTTTATATTTTCTTGCTTTTCGAAGATTAATTGAACATCAATGTAGGGAAATTAGACTTTAGTTATGGCTAAAAATAGCAATTAAAAGGAGATTTTGACACAGAAAAAAACCCATTACTATTTTGTAATGGAAAACTCCAATTTAATCCTTGAAGTTCTTATTTCATCCATGTTATTTTAACAATTCAATTCATGTTTCATTATTTTATTCATGTTTTAATTGAGAGATAAGAGAATGTTGTAAAAAAAAATGTTGAGAAAAGAAAGCTTTTAAATAGCTAATTATATAAAAAAAATTGATTTTTATGCCAATAAATTTATCTTTCAAAGAAAAGAGTTTAATAAAGATGATATATTTTTTTTTATAATCATACTAGAACAAGTAAATCAATTTTCATAAAAAGTTATTTATTTATTTATTTATTAGAATGATTTTAAGATGTAGGTATTTTCAAGAAAAAAATACTTAAAAAATTAATTTTGATTTTTTGCTCACCATATATGACGGAAAAACTATCTAGCAAGTGAGATGTCATCTGCCATAGTAGGCAGTTCTCCCCTGATTATATATATATATATATAATAGAACAGATGTATTTTTCTTCTCTTAAAAAAAATGAAAAGCTTGGGCTTTTAATATTCTATTTATTTTTATATTTTGAAAATATTTTTAAAAAATTAAATATTTTTATTTTTTTGTTTTAAATTAATATTTTTTTATATTTTTAGATTATTTTAATACATTGATATTAAAAATAATTTTAAAAAATAAAAAAAATTATTTTGGTGTATTTATAAGTAAAAAACACCTTAAAAAATAACCGCAATCATATTTTTAAGCTTTTTTTATTATTGGTCAGGCATTTCTTTTCTTTTTATAAATTCTTGTACATTTAAGTATTGCTAATATATCTTCTCTTATTTAAAAACTGTAATTATTTTTTCAAAATAAAAAAAAAAGCAGTTTGATCTTTTTAAATGTTTTTTAATTTCATAATTTTTTTAAAAAATTGTTATACTAATCTTCAATTTTTCCCCTTTTATATTTTATATAAATGAGTTGTATTTGCATAATATATTTGTAAAAACAAAAAAATATTTGTTATTAGAACCAATAATTAATCTCTAACATAAAATAATTAAAAGCGTA